TTCTGACACTTTATTGAAAATCAGTGCTTTTTAAATTGTCAAAAAAGTTGTTCCATTATTTGTCATTACGTACTGCGAATTTAAAGAAAAAGCAAATAAAAAACAGTAAGTCTTTAAGTAACCAATGAAATGTTTTTAAACTGCAAAATATTTTAAAAGCTATAATAAACAACAATTTTTTTGTAAACCAACAGTTATTAATGTTATTTTATTAACAATAATATACTTTAAACATACAAAAATAAGATGGTTGTCAATTTTAATTTAGTCAAAATAAAAACGTTAATAAAAAGGCCCCAAATATTTTTGATAAAGAAGTGTGTTTTGATGTTAAATGATTTAATATAGTTTTAGTTAAATACGTAGCTTTATATTAAACTAGCAAAAAGCAACCCTTAATACAGGTTAAGATATAATAACATTTTCAAATTAGAGCAGCCGTGGCGCAGTGGTTAGAGTTCTGGCTCAGAACCCTAAATACATACAAAACAAAAAAAAAAAAAAAATTGAAAAAATTAATTCATCTGTAAACTTGACATAAAAAGTATTAGAAGGTAAAATAATTTACTAACTACTACATAACATTTACAATTACTTTTTAACATTATTTGAGTAATCTGCGACTGACATAAGTCATAACAGTGTAAAGCAGAACCATTTTCCTCGACATTCCTTTTGTTCAACACAATAAGTTTTTAATTACTGACCTAAAATAACAACACTTCATTATACTTTAAATTGACGAATGTATCAACTAAATCTTTGCAATAATTTTAATAACATGAACTAATAAGATTAAGATGAAGTTAACTTATATTATAAAGGAGTTAACAATTTTTTGGTATCCCCTTGATTAATTTTCTGTACAAAAAAAAATTGTTAACTTAAAATATTAAATGCACACAACTAAATAGATTTTTTAAAAATAACTAAGTTTATAAATATTTAAGCGACTAAGTATAAATACGTTTCAAACAAAAAAAATGAAGTTACAATTAAACATTTGTATAACAAAAAAAAAAAAAAAAATATGTAAACTCTGATTTTTTATATTGCATTAATGCGTCATATGACAAACCTAAAATTGTAACAGATAAGTAGACATAAAATTGGTAAACCAAGCCTACCGGACCAGGGTCTAGTTAAGTCTGCTAAATTCAGACTTTTCTATATTATTTTTTTGACCTCTTTATTTTATTAATTTTTAGTAAATGATAATTTGCTAATACTAAGTTACTAAAAAATCCTTATTTTACTTGAATTTCAATTTTCCTAAATATTTTGACACTAATGAAGACCCAGTGGGCACACGACGTTGTTTTGACGTTGATTTACGGTTGATTTTTAGTCGCGACGTCATATAACCAAAATCAACATTGAATCAACGTTGAAAATTTGTTAAAACTATCAATATTTATCGACGTTGATTTCACCTTAGTTCAACGTCTATAATACAAGTTCGAACGTTCGTATTGCATTTTGAGAACTCAAATACGCATGCGCGGCTTTCCTAGTTATTTATAAGGCCTTCTGTTGTTTTTTAAAGAAACGGCTAAATACAGGAAAGTCTTCCTATTTTAATTGGATGGAAAAAACTTGTTTATAGAGTCTGTAAAACAAATTTTTTGTTTACCGGATTTATTTAAGTTTATGCCTTGTATGGATATACATATATACATATGTAATATATATGCGATGGAGCATGCTATAAGATTCTAATTTCAAATACGCAATAATGATGGTAAGTTAGTTCTGCTTTGTTTAATGATTTATTTAATGGCTTTTTTTTAATTCCTAATTTTTTTATTTTTTTTACTTCTAAATAACGATTTTTTTGTTTAAGGCATCTAGATGATTGTCATCAAACAAAATAAAGCTTAATCAGCTTACTATCAACAATTATAATCGAAAAAATGCATACGAGTTTGAAAAACAGTTTATAAAAATTTTTCATCATTATTCTATCAAAACAAGCCAGTTTTCTGTTGAAAAAATTGACGATGGTTTTTCCTTTAAATGTTTGCCACCTAAACCTCATATAATAAAATGGTCTACTGAACTATCTCTGCGCAACAATAATTCCACTGGAATCCATTATATAGAATGAAATCTTGGAAAGTTTATCTATGAAAGTATTCAGCATCTAATAGCACTTTATGTGGTTCATGAAAATAAATTATCAGTTGATCAAGAGCTAACATGGTTTAATTCTTTAAAGTTTGTACCAAAATCAATTGGTATTTTTCCTCCTCAAAATTTAATTGAAAAGTTCAAAGATGTGCTTTTTAGAATGCCAGCTAGTAGAGATATTTCAGAGTATGGGATGAACCCCAACACTTTATCTGAGTTATGCTGTACTAGATGGCTCTCATCAAATCATATGCTGTATTTTTCCAGTATTTTAAATTCTATCCAAAGCCAGAGATTTAAATCCAGGTAGCCACTGGACATTTGCAGTTTATAATAGAATTAAGGGTGATTTTTACTATGGTGATTCTATGGGTTGGTCAGTTCAAGATGAATTTTTATTTAAAGTCAAATTATTGATCAGAAAACTGTATTTCATAAATAAAAGCTTTGACATCATTTACTGTCATGACCCAAGAACGCATACGAATGGAGTTAAAAAATTGCAGTTCTTTATTGCAGAGAATACTATCCAATGTAAACTTGTGGAAATATCTGTGGAATAATTACCATAATAATATGTGCAATCTCTTGTTTACAGTATGATTATTTAACCATATTATAAGTAAAGATAAATTAGAGAACAATAGTTATATCACAAAAACAATAGTTATATACAAAAGAATAATCAAAAGTAGTGAAAGGTAATAAGTAAATGGTTTATTTAAAAAGATTCAATTAGTTAAATATATTTGCAATTAGTTTAAGTCATTAATACTATTACTGTAAAATATCTGGGCAAAAAATAGTTTTTTATTACAACATGATGACTACTTTTTGATATATACATTATTTACCTAAAATTGTAAGATCTTGATAAAAGATGTTGATATAAGAGTCTGATCATGTCATCATTGCACATAAACTTTTGTGTTGGAATGACAAAAATTTAATTATGTTTTTGAATTTCTTTTAAATTTTTTAGGCTGATTACGTTAAGACGAGTTAAAAATTTATCATAACCCAATTATCATTATTTAATTTACATGCTTATCTATTATATATATTATATTTAATACAAAAAATTGTTTATTCTTTTTTATCCGAATCATCTAATTAACAGGCATTCGAAAAACTGCGAAAAATTGCACATCAACACTAGAATTTTCCCAATGCACAGAAGGACAAGTTATAGTTCATGCTTGTTATTCACACTATGGACATAAAAATGAAATTCAACACATTTCTCTATCAAGTGTTCAAAGACAAGAAATTGCTTGCAAACTAAAAAGGGGTGTAACTAAAAAATAGAATCCTAGAAGATATTAGAGAAGGAATTGGTTGTGTTCAATTCAGATTACAATAAACTCAGCGGAATGATATTACAAATCTAGAAAAAGTATTCAATGATAATTCTGTTTTAACTTCATGCCAATAATCAAGACAGTGTTGCAATTTGGCTAAAAGAATGGAAAAGGAAGTCAAATAATCCTGTTCTATATTATAAACTACAGGAAGAGTCAGATACATCTAATATATTTAATGATTCAGATTTTATCATTATATTGCAAACTGAACATCAAAAGAAAATGATTCAACAGTTTGGAAAAAATGTTGTTTGTATTGATTTTACACATGGCATAAACGCATATGACTTCCTTCTCATATCAATATTAGTTGTTGATAAATTAGGCGAAGGGCAACCTGTGGGGTGGTGCATATCAAATAGCGGTTCATTCAGATTTGTAAAAATATTTTTCCTAAAATTAAAATATTATGAAGTACTTTGTGAAGTTTATTTATGTGCAGCTCTAAAATTCTGGTGTACTTGACATGTTGATAAAGCTTGGTGAGAAGAGTTGCATAAAAAAACACATAATCTTGAAATGGAAGCAGATATATATAAACGTATTAGATTTGTTTTACAACTAAGTGATCGGAAACTATTTGATGATTATTTACAGTCATTAATGGATTACTTGCAATCTTCAGATTCAACCAATTATTTGCTGAGTACTTTGAAAAATAATGGGTAAATTATAAACAAGTTTAGGCATTTTGTTATAGCATGGGTCATGGCAAAAATATAAATATGCATATGGAATCTCTCCATAAGGTTTTTAAGTACAGTTACTTACAAGGTAAGCATAACAAAAGAATTGAAAATTGCTTGTTTGCTTTGTTAAAGTATAATAGAGAAAAAGTATATGAAAGAATAATAAAATTAACAAGCGGGGAGATAAGCTACAAACTAAAAATGGTGCATTCTAGGCACATTGAAAGTCTACAACTGTGTGAAAAGTTTACCTTGGACAAGGATGGAGCAAGGTTAGTACAGTCAGAATCAAATGGTTACCAATAGAGAGTTTTAAAACACAATAAATTGTGTGAAATAAATGAGTGTCTTACAATATGTCCCGAATGTAAAGTATGTATTCATTTATATAGTTGCGATTGTATGAATTTTCTAACCAAAAATATCCCATGTAAACATATTTATTTAGTACATCCTCTTAGCAATCCTAATGTGTCTGCAACAACTCAACTTCTCGATTTGCCAACAAATTCGATTGAATTGGAATTCAAAAAAATAAAAGCTTGCGAACCTGAGATATTAATACTTGAAAAAAAAGCACTATTAAAATATTAAAAGATCTCGTTAATTTAGTTACTGTAAATACAATATCCGATGAGGTTGGTTTGCAGAGTTTATAGAAAAATATATTGTTAGCTAAAAATACCTTTTTAAGCCTAACAACAAATAAGCAAAATGTACTGAATTTTCAAAATAATTTTCCATCAAACAAAAGAAAAACTAAGCATTGACCATTTTATTCAACAAAAAAAAGCGGAAAACATCAAATATTAGACTTGCAAAACCTTCGGAAGATGAAATAATTAGTTTACTCGATTTTTCTAACTGGACAAAAAAAAAACAGGTTTTTATAAATTTTTTGTTTTGGTCTTATATCTTTCTATACCTATGTATTTGTATGTATCCCAGACAGCAAGCTTACATTGGACCAACGTTTGGCTAATGTATGATGATGCATTGGCCCAACGTTGAAAGTCAATGTTGTCCCATTGCAGGTTTGATCATTGGTTAGGTAATGGCCCGACGTTGTGTACAACATTGGCCCAATGTTGTATACAAAATTGGCCTAATGTCGTATACAACATTGGTCCAATATCGTATGTTATATATTGGTCCAACGTTTTATGCAACATTAGATTGTTTTTACAGATAAGATGATTTGCATTGCTACATTGAAAGTTTATAGAGATAAAAGAGATTATATTTATATATATATATATATATATATATATATATATATATATATATATATATATATATATATATATATATATATATATATATATATATATATATATATATATATATATGTATGTATAGGTATTTATATATATTTATATATACTTATATTTATATATATATATATATATATATATATATATATATATATATATATATATATATATATATATATATATATATATATATATATATATATATAATATATATATATATGTATAGGTATTTATATATATATATATATATATATAAATATAAAAAAAAATTTGAATCATGATAAAAAACCATGATAATTGTTCTCTTACTCTATAAGCTTACCTTTCTTCTAACTCTAGACTCTAATATTTATAAAATGTTGTTCTAAAAATTTTAGTTGCATTTTGAAGCATTTTTTCTTTTAAATTAAAATGTCTGACAACTAATAATGTTAGCAGAAGACATAAACATTAATTCATTTACCTGACGGGTAAAATGGAAGAATCGTAAACTCTGTAAAAATCTTTTCTTTATAACTTTTTAACAAAATATTTTATTACACTATTTGCAGGGACAGCCAAATTGACTGTAGCTGTTGAAAAGCACATTTTACTAACGTATTCAGATGTTTGTGCTAAAATTAAAGAGCATGAGTTGTTGCACACAGTGCATTATGTTGTATCTCGCACTGGAAACATGGAACAAAACTTTGAAGGTTGGCATACACAGTTATTTAAAAAATTACTTTTTTTACAATAGACCAATAATTTTATATAATCTACAGTTATTGTAGATATTTTAACCGCTTTAACTTTTAGTGTATTTTCAATTTGTTCTGTTTAACAATTATCTTGTATGTAGTTCAAATTATTTAATATAGAACTCTTGAAGAAAAATCACAGAGTGTTTTTTGAGGACAATAATTTCCCCTACACTGGAGTTCCATTCATTTTTTCAGCGCATACCTGTCTTGACTGTCAACAAGGAATGGACAGGAATATTAAAGCGAAAGAAAAGTACAGAAAAAAGAAAAACGATGCAGTAGTATGTTGATAATTTATATGGTACTATGTTTATAAACAATTTTTTTGTATAATTGTGAGAGTGTTTTATTTAGTTTTTTTTTTTAATATTACTTTTAGGCAGTCACACATTAGTTTCCTTTTTTAAATTATCATCATTGGTATTATTTTAGCATTCCCCTTTGCTTAATTAGTTTTTTTCTCACGCGCTTTTTTTAGTACCAGTATATATTTTTTAAATTACCTTCATTTGTAACGATAAAAAAAAATCTTAACGTATTTTTTTAATTTAAAAATTTTATGTTTATAGTAATATCTTTGTTTATAATGTATAGGCTAAAGATCATTATTACCAAAATAATAAAGTTATTCTCCAGGATACCAAAAAATTTGATTGTCCAGCCGTGATTCATATAAAAAAAATAGTTGAATTTCCAGAGTTTAAGGTATCTTAATGCTTTATCTGATCCATATTTTCACTAAATTTAAAAAACATTTTGTTTAAAAACATTAACCACATTTAATGTTGAACATGTGTATGTATGGAATGTAACATGTACATGTATGTGAACATGTACTTATATGGAACTACAACTGAGCAACTATTTATATACAAACTTTTAAATGATTTAGTTATTAATAAAAATACCAAAATAATAATTTTGTAAAAATACTTAGTAAATTTTCTATAAATGTATTTTTCAATAAATTTTTTTTATTCTCATAGCTCACTAAAGATACAACATGGTCAAGAAATGAAATGTCAAAAAAGCTTCGAATAGCCATTTCTACCCAAGGAAATTTAATTATGTGTAGAAAGTACATTTTAGTAATGCCATGTGCTTCTGCTCATAAAAACCATGTGATAAGAGAAGTAGGTAACATTACAGGTTTTTTTAATTTATTTTTTATTTTTTCATTCATTTTTATTTCATTTAATATTCAATTTAAAATAGATTAAATGAATTATGTTGTTAATTTTCTTTTCAATTTGTTTATAACTGCAAAATATATTTGCAATATTTTTAGACAGCGGGTCTTAGTCAACCCTTTTCTGATACTCTCATTATTAAAATTGGAGAGTTAGTAAAAAAGGGTGTCATCACTGTTCCAGAAATGAGAAGACATCTTGATTATTTTGTTGAAGCTGAATTTGGTTTAAGTAACATTCCTCATAAAAAAAACAAGCGTTACTCTCCACGGGATAAAACAATTCGGAATCATATGATGAATGGAAGGAGAAAACTTCGTAGCTCTTTAATAGATCAAGAATGTTTGCTTGATAAAGTTAATGAATGGAGAATTATTGGCCAAGAACCTATGATAAAGTTTCGACCAAAAGGTGTCAGCATTCTTGAAGACAATGATCCACAGCTTAAGGATTCATTGTTATTTGTATACCAAGATAAGTGGCAAAAGAGACTGCTTTTGCGATATGGAGTTACTTTATCTTGATGCAACATATTGCACGACTAGGTATGCTCTTCCTCTATTTTTTCTAGTTGTTAAAACAAACACGGATTACCAAGTTGTGGCAATTTTTGTGTGTGAAAACGAAACAACTGAAGCTATCACTAAGGCATTGACGTGCATTAAACAGTGGAAGCCTAAATTTGTTTTAACTGATTATTCAAACGAAGAAATAAACTCAATAGAATATGTGTTTTCAGGTAAGACTTTGTAGAATAGGTATTTCAAGATTTTTTAAAATTTTAAGCAGCATAATTTCATGTATAAGTTCATCTTATTAGGATGTAGTGTCCTAATTTGTGATTTTCACCGAGAGCAAGCTTGGGAAAGATGGCTTTCTAAAACCAATAATGGCTGTTGCACTGTGAAAAATGCAGTTAAGTTACAACTTCGTCAAATTGACAATGCAAAAACAGAAGAGATTTGCAAAGATGCTGTGAATGCTTTCAAAGAGACAGAAGAGTGGAAAAATTACCCAAAACTAAGAGAATATTTAAATAATACTTGGTTATGCAACCAAAAGATTAGTTTAAATGTTATTAAAATGCAATTTAAAAAATTATTCTATTGAGTCTTTGTAATCTAATTCTTTGTAATCTTTTAAAAAAAAAAATTAGTTTGGGTATTTTAATCTTTTATTGATTTTTTATTACAATTAAAATGCCAAATAAGTCTAGTGAATGTAAAACTTTTTTTGTCTAAGAAATTGCTTTACTGCATTTTTGTAGTTAAAGTTCTTGAAAAGTCCTGCAATTTAAATATTCTGGGAAGTAAGTAGCATTTCATTTATATCTTTTTCAGAGATGGGTGTCTGCATTCCGGCAACATCGCCTTTTGCGAAATGTCAACACAAACAATGGCACTGAAAGGTAAAATCAATCATTTAAATATAGTTTCTTGGAAAGAAGAAAAAGCTCATCTTTCACAGCTATGGTAAGTATTTGCATTGATGAATTCCTACCTCACAATTATGAAAAGTTAGTTAATCTACTTACACCATTACTATTTAATACTTAATTATGATATTATAGTAAGGCTAGTAAGACAAATAAAAATAATCATGTCATTAAAAACAAGTTTAACTTTATTTTTTATGCTTGAAAACAGTATCTTCTTTTCCTTTTTGGCCAAAAATAGGGCTTTGTTTTTTGTCAGGGTTAGGGTTAATAAAAAATTAGTAGCTTTCAAATCCCAGAAACCGAAAAAATAATGTAATAAAAAGAAATTTTATTTTTCAATTTAGCATAAGTTATCCTGTTACTTACATCATATTCAGTCGAAAAAATTTTTAGTTGCTATTACTATTCTTTAGTAATATTATTGTTGCATAGTTTTAATTATTGTTATTTTTAGCTATGTGGATGAAAATAGAATGTTTAATACCATTCAAAACTAGGCGATAAAAACGCATGCGCTAATTTTTTTTTGGTCTGGATTTTTATGAAAATTGGCAACCTTATTTTGAATGTCATTAAAAATCCTTAACCTTGAAGTAAGATTAAAAATTTAACTTTTATGCATTACATTTTTTTAATACATTATATTTACATTGTAATTAAAAAGATTTTTTTTGATGTGTTTTGTCACTGTAAAACTCAGTTAAAAAGACGTTGTTTTAAAATTTCATTTATTTATTATCATTATAAAAGAATTTTTATATATACATATATATATATATATATACATGTATACTATTTTTTAAATAAATTTACAAAGTTCAACATATATGTTGAACATATGTTCCAGAAACTATTTAACATGTAGTAAATGTTCCATTGAGACACTGTTTGCATTTTTAAAATGATCAAAATATAAAGTTTTGTTTCTGCTATTCACTCGCAGAAACAAACTTTATATTTTGATCATTTTAAAAATGCAAACAGTGCAAACTAGCAGCAAGTTATAAAATTAGATGGTAAATGGTTTGAATTTAATCAAAATATTAGTTTAGTAAGAAACATTTAAAAAGAGCAAACAGACGAATAGAATGTAATGGATAGGTTATATTTAGGGAATTAAAAGCTTTTAAATCGTTTTTACAGATCCACTCTTTTCCATTAATTTTTCTATATTTCATGCAAGCAAAATGACTGATGTTAACGAAGTTTACCCACCGTCAGATATAAATAAAGATATAATTACATGTTTAAATGCAAAATTATGGCTTTATTGTTATGCATCAACCTCATATTTTAATTATTGATATTTTTTGATTTTGATTTAAAATTGTACACTTGCAATATAAACAATAATTTCATAATATACATAATAATAATTTATACTTACAATACCTATATTTGTAAATACTTGTAATATAATACTTATGTTTATAATACTGATAAAAATTTTTATTGATATAAACTTTTGCATTCAAACTTTAGTTATAAAACTTTAATTTAACTTAATAACTTTTACATAAATAACAATAACTAAAAAAAGATATTAGTTATTATATAGATTATAACCATATGTTTATTTATTATAATTGAGTTACAGTAAGTAAAACAATATAAAATGTTATATTCCAGGCAATAGATCTTATATGATATGTATCTTATGTACATTTTGCAGCATGTTAAAGAATATTTTTGCATGGTGCTCTCTGACTGTTGACAATATTTGCATATTGATATGAGTAAAAGTGACTTCAACAGCCAGAATGTGTTTTTGATAAATATTAATAATAACAGGTTAGTAAATATAACTATAGTAATAATGGCAATAACTTTTTATTATTAGAATTATTGAGAAACTTTTGTATAATAGAGCTAAATTAACTTTGGGGGACAAATATAATAACTTGAGTAAGTATTATTGTTGTTCATAAACTCGATTAGAGTAATGTAAGTAAATATTATTTTTATCTAAATAATATTCGGCAAAAGTTAGTATTTCCTAAGTACTAAATATTATAAAAACATGTGTTTAAAAAAAGTTTTTTAAATAAGCATTTGAGTGTAAAATAAAACACATTTATTATTATAATGTATATACATCACATTAACTATGTTGTCTATAAAGTAGGGGTTGCAGCTAATATTTCAGTTTCAGCTACAAACTCATTATCTTCAGATTAATGCTGAAGCTGATCAAGTCAGTTTAATCATCTTAATAGCTGATAGTAAAAGAGAATAATACTCCATAAATATTTTATATAAAGGAATTTATTCAATGAAAATCTAAAATAGAGACAACATTTAAACATACATGTAAATTTTAAATAAAATTTGCCAAAAGTTGTTGCTATTTATAAATGATGGGTACCCAAAATATGTTTTTAGAAATTTGTTGCAAAAGTGGTGCCCAAAAATCTTATTCCATTTTTAATTATCTTAAGGGGACCAACTATCTTTTGTTCAAAAAGAGTACACTTTGCAAGTATTTTATAGCTAAAAAAAAAGGTAGAAAAAACAATAAAAATCTTTATATTTTTTTTAAAACATTTTTTTCGTCACTGTGGATTTTTTTTGCTAGATGAGGATGTTCATCTAATAATGTAGCTGCATCCGAACATGCTGAATTTCATATTAAATTTGATTGTTAAGACGGCATATAATGTTTTTACAGAAAGTTGCAACTTCTCACTGCTCCAATAATCATTCCTTAGTGAAAATACCTTTTCAACAGCAGCATTAGTGCCTGGACAACATAAAGAATTTTCTGTTAAATCTTTTAAATTTTCATGTGGGATATGTTCTACTCTAAAATGCCGAAAGATTTTTACCCATCTTTATTCAAGTTCTATTTTCTCATTGTTCCATTTCTTTAATTTTTCTTCAATTAAAAGTAAATTTACTCTTCCGATTTCTTCAAAAAGAAAATTGTCATTAATAACAATATCTTTTACTTTCTTTATTACAAACTCGACTGCTAAAGAAACTTTTTTTCATTAAATTTTACTATTTATTAGGGTCCATTTAAAACAATTCAATGCTCTAAAGTTTATTATCCATTTTTCGATATATTCATAGCAAATTTTATAAAAATTTATAACTTCTTTCAAATTTTTTTTGTTTGTTTTGGCATTGGATTCTTCCATAGCGGTCAGTTTATAGGCTTTAATATAGCCTCTAATAGTGTATATAGTAGTGTATAGTACTATATTTTTTTATTTAAATTTGCCTTTAATTTGTTTTTTTATATTTTTCTGCAAAAAATTACTTTTGTCACTTTATCCTTCTGAACTTACGTGATTAAGTTTTTGTTTTCTTTTACATATTTTCTCACTCATCTTATCTCATCCGTTCATTTTCTCTCTTTTTTTTTTCATTTTCCTTAGCGTTACTCTTTTATATTTCTGTGTTAGTTCCAACTTTTTAAATAGTATTGTTCCTTAAACTTCTTTTTTTATTACTTGTATTAATGTAGTTTTCTTTCTTTCTTTTTTTTTTTTATTTTATTTGTTTATTTTATGAAGGTGTCGCTCCATTGACTTGTTTTTAATATGAGTGACATCGAACATGAATTTGTAAATTATAATTAAGTTTGTAATTTTTGATTTTATAGTTAATTAACCATAAGCGAATGCGTAGTATGTACAGTAAAGTTTTTGCTATCCTTTTATTTAATTAAATAAATGGATAAAAAACTTTGCTATACATACTACGCATGCCTCAAGACTGTCAAATATGGCGTACATACTGCACATCAAAGATCAGCCTGGGGATTACATATGCAAATGTTGGATCCATCTCTTCTCACAAATATAATTTTGACATTGTTAAAAAAAGAGGTCTGTAGTATTTATCTATTTCTCCATGTTCAAAATACGGCCTCTCAATTGTGTTAAAAATGCCAGCCATATGTGCATTCAAAATTTAAATCACTGTCAAACTTGTATCTAGTGTTTGCCCTGTCTACTGACGTGCTGGAAACGGCTAGCAATATGTGCGCATGAAATTCAAATCACTGTCAAATAATTTTAAATATTTAATTAATAAAATTGAAATGAAATAATATTAAAAAAAAATGTTTTAGAAATACAAATGAGTACACAATTATACAAATGAGTACTTTCAGAGTACAGGATTTGAAAAAAGTACGGTTTGTTAAAAAAGAGTAAAAAAACTCAGTAAATGAGAATAGCAGGTCACCTTAATTGTATACATATTTTTTTGGTAGATTTCAAAGTTCTTGCAAAAGATGATTTTATTTATGAAAATATTGAGTTTAAAATCAATCGTGCTGTTATCATTTGTGATGCACCAGCTAGAGCATTTGTAAAGTGTATTAAAGGACACAATAGTTATAACTAATGTGAATGTTGTGCTTAGAAAGGAGAGTGGTGTGGCAAGATAATTCTCTTACATATTTCACTAATTTTAAGCACTGATATAGATTTTTTGTCATTAAAAGCATTCTGAACATCTTAGTGGTGTGTTAAATTGAATTAAATTTTGATATAGTGACAAAGTTTCCTTTAGACTTAATGCATCTAGTATGCTTAGGGGTAATGCAAAGATTTCTCAACTTATGGTTAAATTGCCCAAATGTTGTAAATTGTCTCAGATTACAGTCAATACTTTATCTGGCGGATTGTTCCAGATACGTCCATACATTCCAAGAAATTTTTTTAGAAAATCAAGGTCTCAATTAGATTTTAAAAAATGGAAAACAATTGAGCTTAGACTGTTTATAGTATACACTTGACAAGTTTTTTAAAGGGAATGGTTTAGCCAAAAATGTATTCAATTTTTTAGATTTTTCAATTGTTGTTCTACTTTCATAATGTTTCATTTTGTTGAAAAAATATGTTAATTTTGCTTTTCAGCTACTTATTTTTATATGTGAACTTTATCGTAAGGATTAACTAGTGTACAATGTCCATTCATTAGCACATATAGGAAATAATACAGTTAAATTTTAGGTACTTGATAGATGTCCCTCTTTTAAATACTAAACTTTTTTAGGTCAATTATAAAATGTTTGTCTAGCGGGCTCATTTGCAAATTTATGGGCCCTTAAACAAATGTAAGGATTTTTTTTTTTTTAGGATTTTTATTGAGATTTTTATTTAGTTTTTAGGAATTTTGGGGCCCTTATGATAGTATTTTTTTTTGGAATGGGGGGCATGTATCTTGTAGCCATGGCACTGTATATAAGGTATAGACAATATATATCAAATTATATACAATATAAATAAAAAACTATATTTATTGAACAATTTTATATAATTTATTTATCAGTAACTAAAGGAATGTTATCAATTTATTATATGAATTATAAGCATGTGCTTATCTATTACAAGTACTTTTGATGGTGAAAATTACATTTTTTATCTGAAGAGAGTTCGAAGAAATTGTAAGAGTTTTATAACATATTAAAATTAATGTATGTGTTACCAATAAAATTTAAAACTAACAGTTAAACTTAATTTTTTACAGTTCATATTGAAAC